CCACCTATCGGAACCATGCCAAAAATCTCCGTGTCTACATTGCGTTTGCCACTCCAAACCCCTCCCTTTACCTTGACATGCAATGATTTACATTCGGCTGCTATACTCTTAGAATTGCATGTGTAGGTTGATTGCTTGACTTGTGCTAAGTTGTTAAAATCTACCAAGACTTAAAATTGGGAAAAGGCTAGATTTTTATTTGGTTAAGTAGTCTAATCCCCCCTCTTGACCTACTTTCGATCCTACAGCAATACATGAGCGTGAGCCATGGATATAACACTATTGGTGGAATAGAATATGGCGGTTGTGGAGAAGACAAAAGGAAGGAGATAGTCTCACATCAACTATGTGTATCAACGGGCTATGGAGATGCCCATCAATAGATATCAATGCGAGTGAGTAGGGATTGCCATGCAACGGATGCACTAGAGCTATAAGTATATGAAAGCTCAAAATGAAACAAAGTGGGTGTGCATCCAACTCGCTTGCTCACGAAGACCTAGGGCAATTTGAGGAAGCCCATCATTGGAATATACAAGCCAAGTTCTATAATGGAAATTTCCCACTAGTATATGAAAGTGACAACATAAGAGACTCTCTATCATGAAGATCATGGTGCTACTTTGAAGCACAAGTGTGGAAAAAGGATAGTGACATTATCCTTTCTCTCTTTTCTCTCATTTTTTTGGGCTTCTTTGGCCGCTTTTATTTATTTTTTGTAAAGTCCGTAGACTCATCCCAACTTGTGAGGGAATCATAGCTTCCATAATCCTTTCCTCACATGGGACAATGCTCTAATAATGATGATCATCACACTTTTATTTACTTACAACTCAAGAATTACAACTCGATACTAGAACAAAAATATGACTCTATATGAATGCCTCCGACGGTGTACCGGGAAGTGCAACGACTCAAGAGTGACATGTATAAAAAATATTAATGGTGGCTTTGCCACAAATACGATGTCAACCACATGATCATGCAAAGCAATATGACAATAATGAAGCGTGTCATAATAAACGGAATGGTGGAAGTTGCATGGCAATATATCTCGGAATTACTATGGAAATGCCATAATAGGTAGGTATGGTGGCTTTTTTTGAGGAAGGTGATGGTGGGTTTAATGCACCGACGAAAGTTGCACGGTACTAGAGAGGCTAGCAACGGTGGAAGGATGAGAGAGCGTATAATCCATGGACTCAACATTAGTCATAAAGAACTCACATACTTATTGCAAAAATCTACAAGTCATCAAAACCAAGCACTACGTGCATGCTCCTAGGGGGATAGATTGGTAGGAAAAGACCACCGCTCGTCCCCGACCGCCACTCATAAGGAAGACAATCAATAAATAAATCATGCTCCGACTTCATCACATAACGGTTCACCATACGTGCATGCTACGGGAATCAAAAACTTTAACACAAGTATTTCTACCAATCCACAATTACTCATTAGCATGACTCTAATATTACCATCTTTATATCTCAAAACAATCATAAGGAATCAAACTTCTCATAGTATTCAATGCACTTTATATGAACGTTTTTATTATATCCCTCTTGGATGCCCATCATATTAGGACTAAATTCATAACCAAAGCAAATTACCATGTTGTTTAGAGAGACTCTCAAAATAATATAAGTGAAGCAAGAGAGTTCAATAATTTCTATAAAATAAAGCCACCACCGTGCTCTAAAAAGATATAAGTGAAGCACTAAAGCAAAATTGACTAGCTCAAAAGATACAAGTGAAGCACATAGAGTATTCTAATAAATCATGATTCATGCGTGTCCCTCTCAAAAGGTGTGTACAACAAGGATCATTGTGGAAAACTAAAAAGCAAAGACTCATATCATACAAGACGCTCCAAGCAAAACACATATCATGTGGTGAATAAAAATATAACCTCAAGTAAATTTACCGATAGACGAAGACGAAAGAGGGGATGCCTTCCAGTGCATCCCCATGCTTAGGCTCTTGGTTGTCCTTGAATATTACCTTGGGGTGACTTGGGAATCCCCAAGCTTAAGCTCTTGCCACTCCTTATTTCATAGTCCATCAAATCTTTACCCAAAACTTGAAAACTTCACAACACAAAACTCAATAGAAAACTCATGAGATCCGCTAGTATAAGAAAATAAAATCACCAGTTTTGGTACTGTTGTGAACTCATTCTTTATTTATATTGGTGCAATATCTACTGTATTCCAACTTCTCCATGGTTCATACCCCCCGATACTACCCATAGACTCATCAAAATAAGCAAACAACACATAGAAAACAGAATCTATCAAAAACATAATAGTATGTAGTAATCTGTAAATCTCGAATACTTCTGTAACTCCAAAAATTCTGAAAAATTAGGACAACAGAGGCAATTGTATATTAATCTTGTGCAAAAAGAATCAGTATTTTATCGCACTTCTGTTAAAAATTCAGAGAAAGAAATACAGGTGAATTGAGTTAGAATATGATGTCAAATGATTGATAATCACTTCAAATTTCTCAATGTAATCGGCCACAGTGGTCAACTACCGCACTGTGTAAAATCGGCGTTTGAGCATTTGATGTCCATCACGCCCAAAACGAGTGCACAATAGTGAGGTAAAAGACTCCTAGTCCAATTCAGCCAGTTTCTTCTGAACTGACTGAAGCCAGATCGAGGCTGTCCCCGAAAAATTGAGAGACGCCATAGGCACCCAGAATGACTCAGTGACCGCAAACATGGAGAAATACTATTCACACAACGTTTTCCGCAGCCATGGGTTGTCGCCCGTGAACTGCGGGAAATAGATCGATGGGTGGGTTTGACCCAGGCCGACCAGTAGTTGACTCGCTTGCGCGAAAGGCGATGGTAAGGGAGGTGAGGGAGCGATGGTATACTGACCCGTGGCCGGGAGCGGCGACGGCGTCATGAAGGACGTTGCCGGCAACCCCCATGGCAGAAGAACATCGTCGTGGTCCTCAGACCCGTGTGTCGCTGGTGCCACGCCCAGCACAATGCCCGCGTCGACGTTGTGCGTCGTTGGCAGGGGTGCCACGCCCGCGCCTGGCCCATTGCCCTCGTCGCGCTCCGGTGGTGGAGCGGGCCGCGCGAGTTGGAGTGCTGAGAACGCCTCGCCGAGGTCCGCGACGCGCCGCTCCAGATCGGGACGCCACTTGACGAGGTCGTCGATCTTGGCTGTGGAAGCCTGTATCGAGGAGATGGCAGTGGTGTGGGCTGCCAGCGTGGAGTCCAACCGGTCAAGGAAGGCCTGGATGGACAAATCCATGGAGGAGAGTTGCGATCGCGCTTGATGGAGATGTGGCACCTCGACGAATTGCGCCAGATCGACGCGATGTGGCACCTGGGTGAATTGAGTTAGAATATGATGTCATACGGGTGAATATGGCTTGGTCACTGATACCAAATGTAAGAGAGAGGTTGGGGATCACTTGATCTAACACTATTTCATACCAATTCAAGTCTAGTATCTCGATTTACACACAATTGTGATTACAAGAATGGGAAAACTGGGTAGGTGAGATCGGAAGGTAGCCGCCCCCGCCGAAGCCATGATCCTTTGGATAACTGACTGCATAGATGCTTTGGCCTTAAGTAGCCGCTGTGGTGGACGCAGTTGTGTGCACCCACTCCGGGCCTTGGTAGGGGGCGTTTGCCTAGAGCGCTCGGCGTGGATGATCTCCGTGGCCACCACGTGGACTGACATGTGGCCCCGGTATGTCAGGGCTGCTGACAACAGGTGCATCAAAAACTGCAGCACGGTCTGGTGGAGTACCTATGAAGGCTCAAGGGCAACGTCTAGTTCGACGTGTGACGAACTATGGTTTTTTGTGTGCTTGAATTATGAGTTTGCTTCGTTGAACTATTTGATCTGTATTGATTTGTGTGATAAAGATAAAAGTTAGTCTATGTTGAATTTGTGCCGAAACACATCGTATTTGGGGCAAATTTGCATTGAAATTGGGTCAAAATCGACAAGTGGGGGACGAACTTGGGGGTCGGCTGGGAACCCGAGCCCCCCCACGTCGAAATTACCCTCGGTTCGCCCCAAACAGCGATATTTCTAATCCTTGAAGGGTCGAACGACTGGAGATGCTATAATGTCATTGGAGGAATGGAGGGTGCGCAGATCTGGCGTCGCACTGCATCTGGTGCGGTTTGCTTTAGCTCCTCCTCCCCACTCGAATTTCCCCCCTTTTTACTCGTGGTGTACGTCCTTTTATCAGTCACAGAAAAAGAAAAGAAAATGAAAGGAAAAGGGGCATCTTGGCAGTTGGCACCACGGAACCCTCCAACGTTGCGATCTCGCCCCTGAACTGTCCGTGGATGGTCGCGGGCCCCCCGCACTGGTCGCTTTCGTGCCGTGTGGGCTAGTGGGCGGTCGTCATAACGACATAACCAATGGCCTGCACTGCAAAAGAAAATAAAAATCAGAGGAGAAAAAAAGAAGGGAGGAGAAGGAGACAGGGGGTCAGTCTTCTTCCTCTGTCCCTGTGCTGCTGCTGCCTTTGCGTCGGAGATTGCCCAAGGCTAGATTCGAGGAGGGCTGGCTCCCTCGCCCTCCCTCTCCCTCCCCGTGGCTCCACTGTATCTGAATCCGCGACCGGCTCCGTTCCAAGCGGCCCTGGATTATTTTACGCAGGTTAGGTTTTGCTGCTGCCTCTGCTTCTACCAGTACTAGTACTACTCATCTCCCTTGGTGTTCTGTTCTGTTCTGTAGTGGAGCTCTAC